TATGTTTTACTTTGCTCTGATTGGCTAGTGGTAGTGATAACTTTGCATTTGGTTTTATGACACCCAATTGAGATGCACTCTTGTAGCAAACAGATAATGTGAATATACATACTTATAATCCATTCCATCAAATATTTTTGCTCGCATGTGATTGGTCTAAATGTGTCATACAACCAAAAACTTCCCACCTAAACTGGAAAGTATCCAGTAATATTACCCAGTTTTCAAGCCAATATGATATATTTCTATGTTTATAAAATTGTACCAAAGAACACTAAAAAGGAAATGTCATTGTACAGTAAATAGTACATTGTTTGTAAACATTTTGTCTACACACTGCAAAATGTTTAGAGGATAATAACCACAGTAGCCTCCATTTGGCACCAAAATATGCCCGAGTATTTGTCTGCAAACATGATTTGCTCTGAGAAGGGAAAAGTTTTCTCAGAGCAAGCTTCTCAGACCAGATTATTTCTGTGGACAAATATCCATATATTTTTGTGCCAAATGGAGGCTTTTATGTATTTATGCAATCAGCTGTTGGGTGTTGAGTTGATGTCAAATCAAATTCACGAAGCTAAATTAAAACAAATCACATTGCAGCCACTATGAAGGATCACCACCCTGATAATAGGCCTTAGAACTTTGAACAAAAGATGCAATTAGTAGAGTGTAATAATTTGCTTGATGTTCACACCTCTCCATAACTTTGGCAATATAAGGCAAATGAAGCTCGATACTGTGTTCTCTTTCATCATCAGCTTGACTAAGCTTCTCAAACTCTCCCGTTGCCAATAGTTCTCTATTTACTGAAAAAGAAATTTAAAACATTGATTTTTACCACAATTGGCAGTGATGTCCTAATCACATTGGCTAATTTGACATTGTTGATCAAAATATATACAAACCACACTACAGGCATCAATGTTTCATGCAATGGTCACGCACTAAAAGAATCAGCTTTAAAATTAATATTGTTGTTAAAAAACAAATCAACGGTGGTTTTGTGTGGTCTGTACTCTTATCAACAACATCATTTGTCATAGCAGAGGCTTTGACCACTCTTGATTTGTTCAATTCACTCTGCTGCCATGGAAACCTTGGCTTTTGCTTAAATTGTGCTAATTAACTATAACTGAAGACACATAAATTAATCAAGCTGGTAGATTAATTAAAACAGTTTCTCAAAAGTGATATTTCAAAGAAAACTCTTACCCTCTGTGTCAATTGAAAGATTGTACAATGGAGTTTCATACTGTGATAAACTTGTTACTGCACAGCCAGGCAGGTACATATGATGAGATGGACCCAGGATAAATATCCTCTTTCTATAAAACATACCAAGAAAATATTAAAAAGAGAAAAGACCTCAAAAAGTTTAATCTTTAGCTGTTACTTCTTTCCACTTGTAGCAAACCATTGCTCATGGCATAAAATAATGAGTCTGAATCCCAATATAAGGGGGAGAGGGAGGGGAATGTTAGTACTTTATCCAGTTTAGTACTTTGATGTTTATTTTGTAGTCATATAAATCTGGTTAAATTTCAAACACCATTCCACTAAACAAGCTCCCAAAAGTATACAGCTTTAGTTACTACTCCAAGCTGCTGCAACCTGTTTTCAAATTGGTTTCTGTGCTTAGCAAAGGACAATTTTGACAACCATAATATGGTAACCTGAGTTTCCTAGTCATGTGGCACGCTGTTATGTTCTGATTAAAGCAAGGGGAGCATTTACATTTCATAGCTTCCTTACAGTTAAAGAAATCATACTTTTTCTTCTTGATTGTGTGAGTATTAACCCTTTAACTCCCATGATTTCATTAGTAATTCTCCTTACTGTCTGTCTTACAGTTCATGCAATGTTAATTTGGAGAATTTGGAACTGGATCAACCAATAATCCCCTTATTGATATTTTTCTTTATTCTCATGAATTGCCTGCTTGATATTATACTGATGGTGTAAGGAGAAATTCTGTCTAGGTCACTGGTGAGACTTAAAGGGTTTAGTCTAACAGTGTCACTTGAATCCTCAATTGTAAACTACTGCCAGCCATGTAGCTCATTTCAAAGAAAAGAGGTGTGGTCAGCAAAAAGTCCTTTTCCCTATAAATTCATTATCTACTCCAGTAACAAAAATTACATTTCTGGTCATGACTTGATAATTTCAGGCCATCAAAACACCAGACAACTAAAAAGCCAATTCCAGTTATGAACACCTTCTTTGAATTTAGAGGGAACCTCCTGAGAGCTTCCACTCCTTTATTAACCTTTCAACTCCCACAAGTGACCAAGACAGAATTTCTCCTTACAAGATCAATACAATATCAACCAGGTAAGTGATGAGAATAAAGAAAAATATTAGTTTGGGGATAATTAGTTGATCCAATACTGAATTCTCTGAACTAACATTATAAGAATTGTATGGTTGACACTAAAAAGAATTACAAATTTGATCTGGGAGTTAAAGGGTTAAATTAACCCTCCAACTCCCAAGATTTGATTTTTGATTCTCCCTTCTAGCGCAACACATTTCCTTGTAATTTTTTTTATAGTAATTAAGTGTTAGATCAAGATATCAACTTCTACCTGGTATGTTTGAGTATTCTCATTACCTGTTTGCTGGATACCGTTTACAGTCAGATAATTTTCATGTTAATCTCCTCTGGGAGTTAAAGGGTTAACCCTTTAACTCCCAGATCAACTTTATAATTCTCCTTACTGTCAACCATATAATTCTTATAAGGTTAGTTCAGAGAATTTAGCATTGGATCAACTTATCCCTAAATTGATATTTTTCTTTATTCTTATCAATTATCTGTTTGATATTTTATTGATATTGTAAGGAGAAATTCTGTCTTGGTCACTTATGGGAGTTAAAGGGTTAATTATGTAAGTTTATTTCACATGAGCAGCTTCTCAGGTCCATGGATTGCCAATAAGATATAACATACCTATTCCACGCTCTAACAAATGACATTCTAAGTAATATTTTTCCTTCACATTATAGTAACACTGATAAACCCCCTCTCCAAAATCAAAGTCTATCCTTCATTCTATAAAACAAAAACTTCTTAGAAGATCAAAAAATTGATCTAGAATACTTCCCCTTTAAATAGTTACAGTCATCAAAATATCAATTTAGACAAGTTTCACTTGAAGCCCTAGAGAGTTGTACATGTTACTTAAAAAAATAGTGAAATCAAATTGGCCATTTAATAACAGGTGGAATGACAGACAGAATTAACCACAAACATAAAACAATTAAATAGAACATAAAACTAATTAAATAGAACACAAGCAGTCAGAAAGGGAGTTTACTCTTCCATGGTTTACGATAAAAATTTTTAACAAGGCTTCTTCATGTACATGAGAAGTTATATAAATCTGATAAAATTTAAGGTTGTAACATGGCCTCGCTTAAATATTTACAATTAACTCTTAATGGGTACAGTTTCATTTTTTTCCTTAGCCAGTTGACAAAGACAAAGTTGAACCAGTGGGTAAATTATTAATGCTTATGCAATTGTTACCTACAAATTTAAAATTATTTACTTAGTAACTGTATGGATGAAAAGGATACCTTGTATACTTTTAATGAACTGCAAACTGCTTTACATTTTTTGCTCTGAATTTGGCGCAATGAGATTTCCATATTGCAACAGGCCCTTCAATTAATTTCAAAACAGCAACACAGCTGGCAGCTCCCTCTTCTGACCAACACCCAATTTCTCATAACACATTAAAGCAAGACATTTTCACACTTGAAAGTCCAAAGCACACAAAATAAGTTTACTATGTCAGAATGCAGTGTGTGTTAGCGGGTTATCAATTTTCAATTCTCAAAGCTGCCCAAAAATATTTGTATGCAAATCAGTTAGGAGAACTTAATGCAAATAATGAGGAAAAAGAAAAGAGAAAAGAGATTTCATGAACCAAAAATTCAACAACCTCGCTTAGCCTCTTAACTGAATGAACCACCAAAAGTCTGTGGATGGCACCTGAAAACAGAAATCTATTGAAGCTTATATTGTTGTTTCCCGTTGATATCGGGGGCAAACATGAATAGTCATGCGAGTTCTGTTCAAATAATTTTTTCCCCTACTTAACACCTTTGAAAAGCGCGAGGGACACGGCACCATATACTTACATTTTACTTGGATCGATCTGTCTGTAGGCATGAGCTCCACAAGATCCACAGTACTGATAACCCGCATGTCTTCATGAAAGAAAGAAAACATCACTTAATTCACAAAGGGTCGTTCTTCAATTATCTATTTAATTTTCGAAGAACTTCAGAAATATCTAATTTTACTTACGGTGCTATGATAGCTTTGGCTGGTCGACACGAAGGGTGAGCTTTAGATAACCATTCCTCTAACTTCTGATTAAGTGTTCGGGCTAGAATTGCCGGGAGTAACAATAGATGTAAGCAATTTTTAAAACACCGGTATTTTTTCGCGATAGCAAATATTTAAAGTTTGCTTTCAGATAGAAAACATTTTGTTCTAAGCGCTTTTACAGTACCATTATCAGAATACCAGGTTCCTGCGTGACTTGCTCGGCGCATGGACATAGTACTTGGTTGCTGATTATAGAAATTGTGTTAATCTCGGTTCTATAAAAAAAAAAATTACCCGACAAAAGCAAATGACTGGAAATGTTTCCAACACAGAATGATGTGACGTTCGTGAGGAACTGGGGAGTGCATGGTCAAGTTGGAGAGTCTGCTGATATGTTTTGTTTTGATTGTGTATTCATAAGAGAGCTGGACACGTGGTCAGAGAATTTTCAGAAATCGTTCCAACCTATCTAAGCAGGTTATTAAGGGGAAGACTTCATACTTGCAGATCCAAGAAGAGCCAAGAACTAGGACAGAAATAATGTTAATTTAAGATGAGAGTGAGAGAAGAATGCCTAAGGTAGGACTGCGACTGGGGAATTTATCAAGGGGAGGCAGTGGTTTGAGGTCCATTCCTATGGGGAGGGAGGTGGGGTTTTTCTGCACTTAGGCTAATCAGGGACGTTCTTGATGTAATGTTTTGTACAGCAGACTAATTGATCTAACATTTGGCAAACACACTTGATGATAATTTTATTTAGTTATGTATTGTATATCCCTTTGTCATTCCAGGGAGTGTCTTAAAGAATGTGTCCTGCTATTTTAAGTTTTCCCTCCTTGAAACACTGAGACGCTATCAACCACAAGATACAGATTTTGTGTAGTACATGAGGCCTCAGTCTAAATGTTGGTTGAAGTGCCAATGACTGTTGAAAGATGTTTATTCGTCATGTCATAGGGGTGATAAAGAGCAAATTATTATTAGCTTATGAAGAATGAAAATCTCAGACTTTTTACCTTACTGAATAATTTAATTCTCAATAGTGGAAATGATAAATTTTTGTTTCAGGAAAGCTTAGAGAAGAATGAATTTCAAGGGGTTGAACCTAAACTCCTACCTAACTGACTGAAAGAATGTCAAGCGTGTCTTGGTTTTCACGCAGCAGCTTGTTTGGAGCACAATCAGAAGAGAGTTAACAAAATGAGTAACGCTGATTGTGATGGTTGGTTTTATAGAGTTTATATCCCCATTTCTTGTAGCTAGAAATGAACATTAGGAGTATAATTAATTAAAATTTGAACATCTACCTATCCATCAAGTTAAGACTCAGAAAGCTTTCCAGATTATAACAAGTGGTCTTGGAATCTCAGGGGAGATGTGGTGGACTCCAGGTTGAGAGGTCCTGGTTCGAGACCTGGGCTGGTCATTGTGTTGTGATCTTTGTTAAACCTTTCACTCCCAAGATCTTATTAGTAATTCTCCATAATAACTGCCATACAATTATTATGATTTTAGTTCTGAGAATTTGTCACTGGATCAACTAATAATCCCATAATTCATATTTCTCTATATTCTCATCACTTAGTTTAATTGTCTGCTTGAGATTGTATGGATATTGTGAGGAGAAATTCTGTTCTGGTCACTTATGTGAGTCAAAAGATAAAACACTCTACTCAGACAATGCCTCTCTTCACTCAAGAGTATAAATAGGTACAGGAAAACCATCAGGGAAGCTGACAAAATGTCTTGGGGTAACCTGCAATGGATTACCATCCCATCTGGGAGAGTAGTGATATTTCTAGTCACTTGAGGTTAAGGCTCCACTTGGTTGGAGTGCACACTTTACCTTCTACTGCCAACCTTGGAATATCATGAACATCACATTACTGGAGACCAGTTGAAACATCTTGAAATGTTTTTGATCCAAGTTCTACAGTGAAAAGTGTATACTATTAGATTTTCTGGTGGGCCTGCATGATAAATTTCAAGGTATTAGGGAATTAGACAATAAGAAGCTGAAAAGAAGGATGGACTCAGTCACTCAGGGGTGTTTATCTTCACATGAACAAGACATCTTACTCAAAGTGCAAACCACAAATAAATTTGTTCTACTCTACTTATCATGTTGTAACAACTGAAAGCCTTCCTGTAAAAAAAAAAAAAACAAAAGCAATGAATATATGATTTGTTGGGTCCTGTTGACAGCTGATTAAAAAGTTATTCAGCTTTTTCTTTGTGCATTAGCAATGGTGCATTCATTTCTTCTTCAAGGGAAGGCAACACCACCTTACCATGATACCCAAGTTGCTGTTGTCGGTGGAGGAATGGCTGGGCTGGCGGCAGCATCAGCTCTGTCAGAGGCTGGTCTTCAAGTTGTCTTATTGGAAGCATCTGATTATTTTGGTAAATACATTAGTCAATTTTTAACATAATGAATTGCACAAGAAGGCATGTAATGCAATTTTCTCTTTTGTTTATACCCTTATAACCCTTGTCAAAATCACTTACCCATACTTCTTTTTCACATCCTTTTTTCACATCACAGCATTAATCAGAACACTTTTGAACTGTTTGGAATATAGTTGTTTTTTCTTTGAATGGACCAAACTCAACTTAAATATTTATTTTTTAATCTAGCATTGTTGAATAGGTATCTTAAAGGCTATAATTTCAAGAGAAGGCCATTTGAAAATCCTGTGTTACTCTCAGTAGACAACTTTCAGCAGTTTTTATTTACCAATCAGGCCCTGGTTGTATAATTGCTATCTACTGGATAGCAATTTATCTGTTGGATAGAGTTATCCTCCTTTTGAACAACTGGGCCCAGGACTGAGTTTTGTTGAGTATGTATTAACTGTGATCCACCTCTCAGGGACCTGAGAGGATTTTGAACATATTTAATAATCTTCTAATTTCCTTTAATTTTTCAATAATTACTTTTTGCTTGTCTCGCTAGGTGGAAGAGTGAAGCAAGTTCAGCCATTTGAAGGATTTGCTCCAATTGATCTTGGTGGAGAGTTTATCCATGGATCAGATAGTATCATAACCAGGACAGCAAAAGAAAATGGCTGGGTTGTGCAACCAGTAAGATACATAAACTTTTAGTGGGTGAAGGTGTTGTTGATTGCATGCATGCAATTTTTCTTTTTCTATGGAATTATCAGTGGTCAGGACTTGTTACTTGTAAATTGCATTTAGAATTCATCACTGAAGTGTTGTAAAGCATGTTATTTATAATATATTTTCTCTCACTCCTGAGGCTGGGACCCTACTGTAACATACATACTAGTCCTAATGTGAACATCTTTTCTTATGAGCCCTTTTATGCCCAGTAGTGACCAAAAAGGAATTTCTTCCTAAAATAGAAGTTCATTTGTAAAGCAAATAAGTGTGTGCCCAGCATAGCTGGTGTAATTTTGAGGAGCAAGTGCATCTTTGATTTTTAAAGCAGCAGAGGGCTGCATGGGGAGAGAAAAAAATTTGTCCCAAGGGAGTGAACAATCCTAAGGGCTTGACTGACTTTTACAATACCACAAAGACATCAGTCTCCCAGGAAAGATATTTGACCATATTTACACAAGTAGCGATTTCCATCTGAGATGTTGATTTGATTTATAATGCAATCTCACTGTCATGCAATTGTCATACTGTCACACACAAGGGGTCGCACTTTCATGCTGGGTGTAATGTCATATGATCAGGTAATTTTTACCACCTGGTACATAAATGCACTTTTTGATTGGCTGTGTGCCATAGTGCTCTCCATAACTTTACTTTCCTTCTCGATAAAAGAGCACATAAGATGATTAGAGAAATCTTTCATTTTGCTGACTTTGCAGTGCTTCAAATGTGAGGGAATGGAGAGAGAATACATGTTTTTCTACAAAGATGAATTACATCCACTATTAAGTAGCCATCCTGATATTCAGAAAGCCTGGAAAGCTTGGGATGATATCATTTTTTTTTGGGACAAGATATCTAAAAGAGAACTCCATCAAAATAAAGAAAATGTTTCCTGTGAAGATAATGGTAGAAGTGCAGAGAGTTACTCTGTTAAACCTGATTTAGAATCCAAGGCAACTTCTGCCCAAGCAGAATCAATAAAGGCATCAGAAATTGACAGTAGACAGAATCCCGGAGATGATGCCGAGAATTCTAGGTAAGTCCCCTAGACATTTTAGTTGAGTGTCATTCTTCCCTGAGAAGAGATGGCTGCAAAATCTAGCCTATGCGGTGTAAGTGGTTGGCAAAGTAAAATACATCACTAGTCTAGTAGGGTAATTTTGTTTTAACAACTGAGTTGATAACATAAATTGGCCACTGTGCGGAGTTTCAAAGCTGACGTTTCGAGAGTTAGCCCTTCATCAGAGCGATTGACGAAGGGCTAACGCTCGAAATGTCAGCTTATAAACTCTTTACGGTGGCTAATTTACGTTATCAACTTGGTTGATAAAAATACTAAATTGCCCTGTTATACTCTACCACCGACGTAGCACCACAGTTCTTTAGAAACTTACCCCTTTATTTACTAATCTAGTAAGCAAATAATGGAACAAACTTAACAACGAGAGAAGCTAATTCATCTCATGCACTTTTTTAATGCGTCATTTTAAGACAACGGAAGGTGAATTTTAGACTTTTAGAGACTGGTTTCTTTGATACTTTTTCCTGTCGCAGAGACACGAGTATTCAACAGTGGTTGGAGAGGTATAAGTGTAACGATGATGTGATGGCGGTGTTTGATTCTATGTATTGCCAAACAGTAGCTGCTGCACCCAGCCAGATGGGTCTGTATGAGTGTGCACGTGAAGAAAATGCTTGGACGTATGGTGATGGGAATTTCAGGTCAGTTTTAACTTTTAATCCAAAATTTCTAGAAAAGGAAAAGGGGCTTTTGAATGGGTGTTTAAGCGAAGTCTCACTCCACCATCTCTACCACAAGCAATGAACTGCCCTTCGTCAATCCATCATTTTAACTCAGTCTTTCTATGTTCTATCAGAGGTTTCCATAGAAGTAAGTTACCGGTCGTTTACCGCCATTTGTTTAGCCTGCGAGCACGTTCTCTCGTTTGGGATTTATGTTACAGCGCAGCTGCCCATTACAATATCGGCGACCGCTTTTGGAAAAAGTTATTGTCACCCCGTACAGGCCTGAATTTTTTTCAGGCCTTATTTTCACTACAGCCCAAGTAGTGTTCATTACTGCGAAGGTCGCTTTCATGTTCACCCCTGGTTTCACTTTATGTGTGGAAGACTAAAGAATACAGTACCACTTGTGACGTCAATTGCTTTTGCTTATGTCTAAAAGTAACAAAATTGAACGTTTGACTGAAGAATCTACTCCCATATGCAGGTTTTTCCGTTCTTCTCAATTTTTTCAGGATAAACCCCTGATCAACATGAGAATTATAAAGGACACATCTAATTGTTTGCGTATCTCATAAACTTTTCACGGTATTTTCAGTATATTTCATTTTTATCGGTATTTATTTTTCAAGGTATATTTTACTGCTTTTTCAAATTTTTTCTTCAGGTTGGCGGGATCGTATTCTCTGCTTGTGGAGCATTTCTTAAAGAAGTGTTCTGAAATCGAGAAACGGCTGTGTTGGCAAGTGACAGAGATTAATTGGAAAGGTAAAGTTGTTTGAGAGACATTTATATGTCTTTTATATAACACGGTATATATTCCATGCACTCGCCGTCAATGAGAGCTGATATTAATCGAATGAAGCAATTTTATGTAGTGTAGTTCGTATAGTGTGATCGTCCGGGTGAGTGTAGTTCTGAAAAGAACTGTTGTTGGTGACTGACGTTTCGACAACCTGTGCGGAAGTCATCTTCAGAGTCAAGTTTATGTAGTGTCTTTAAACTTAGAAAAAAGTTCTTTACCACAAAGAGCCAGTAAGAAGTCATAGTAATAGCGAGCAAACTGATTGAAGCACAGGAAATGGAATTCATCAATTCGTGGTTGGTTTTAGTTTTGGCAACTGATTGGTTGAGAGGATGGTACACGTTTTCAAGAACAATCAAAGGACAAAGTTTTGCAAAGCTAATGCAATCCTAGAATGCGTTTGACACTCAACTGAAAACCTCTCTTCGTTTCTAAGACGCAAAACACCTTTATTTCTTCACCAAGCTCAAAATTTATCAGCTTTCTGCTATTTACGGTTGTTAAGGTTTTTCTTGGCTATATCCTCCGATAATTAGATTTAAAATATTCCAAGGTTCTAATTTGTCAAAAAGAAACTATCCGTTCTCGTAGACAACAATTTCTCTCAAAGGATTAAACTCAATTCTGGTATATAAAAGCTACGTGTGTGTCAATAAACACGCCCTTTGATAAGATAATCAGTATTCAGTTTGATGGTAGGTTCTAATTAAAAAATAACATAAATGTTCGCAGTGTTTAGGTCTTAATGTTCGCAAGGTTCAATTCTTAAGGTTTGCAAGGTGCAATTCTTAGTTTCGTGTTCCGTTCTTCACATTTACTCACATAGACGAAAAACACCTTTATTTCTTCACCAAGCTCAAAATTTATCAGCTTTTTTATTCTATTTATTCACATAACACTTTCGAAAAAAGCCAATCCCGGCAGTACTTGAAGGACAGGTGTCATATATGAACCTAGGGTCTTTGTAGCTCAGCGGTAGAAAGTCGGAGCACGGAATCCTAATGTCTGAGATTTGATTCCCGGTGGGTACTTGTATGTTTTTGTGAAGCGTAGGACAAAGGCTAAGCTCAAAACTTCACCATCTTTCTCAACTCTTTGTTCAAAGAAGGAGCAATTTCCATTCTTTAAATGCTGTTTCTTGCAGGTGAGAATGGTATGGATAAAATAGAAATGCAGCATGAGTCGAAATCAGATGGACATGTTTGTCTAAAGAATCAACTCGGCCAAACTCTAACCGCCAAATATGTGATTATTACTGTGCCACTGACAGTTCTCAAAGATGGTGACATAACCTTCATTCCGCCTTTGCCAGTAAGCAAAAAAAGAGCCATAGACGGAATAGAAATGAGAGGGGCACTGAAAATTGTTTGTCGTTTCAAGTCACAATTCTGGCCGGACAACTTAAACCTATTATACAGAGTACGGGGCTTTGTGAGCCAAATATGGATGTACACACGTGACTCGACGGAGAGCACTGAGAAGTGTCATCTGATCGCGGGCTTTCAAACAGCTGAGCCCGCAGAAGAGAAGATCAACCTCAGCGGACAGGAAGTTTTAGATGAGTTTCTTCAAGATTTGGATCACATATTTCGGTAAGTGCCCCACCCTTCAAAAGAAGTAGGTAGAGAGAATGGAAATTATTGGGACATTTCTGGAACTTCAGCATTGCGGGAGGTAGATACGAAATTTTCATGACAGTTTAATCGGAATTTTGATTATAAATCTCATTGAGGCCTTGCATAAAACATTCATGCACATTAATTCGAGTTTATCATTTAATTCTAAGTTTAACAAAATTATTTCACCATCATTGGCAAGTCTGATGGTGACATTAAAAAAATGTACTTGCTCCATGAACAGTCGCACACAGATTTCAAAAATTGTACCAGAAGACAATTATTGAATTTTAATGAATGTTTAATGGATTTGATTATATTGTACAAACATTGCAAGTAGCTAAATGAATCTACGAGACCACTCTTTAAAGTGTTCACACTTGATAAAATAGAGTGGGAAATCTTAACCACCACCCGCTGTTTACTTGCGAGTGGTTTCGCAGTCTGTTGGCAAAATTTAAGGTTGAACTCGAGAAGTTAGGCACTTAATATGGTTGGGGTGGAAGCTGTACCTTTACAAATGTGTCTAAATATGAACTATTTTTGACTCTCTTTTCTGCATTAAAAGAAGCTGCATTATCCGAAAATGCTAGATGGAACATGTACTTTCATTCTATGAGGGTGAATCATCCATAACTATGAAAGTTGTTATCCTTTTCACTTGCACAAAGAGGAATTTCCTCTGAAAATATGAGTACTTCAGTTAAAAAATGTACGGGAATAATGTTTGATGTAGGCCATATTCTCAGAGCTTAACTTATAAGAACTGTACGGTAGATAGTGCTGGGAAGAGATATTTACATCTGAAGAGAAAGAGGGTCAAACGTGATTCGCCATTTTTGTTGAAGGGCTTTTTGGGGATTATGAGAAGGGTTGATGTAAAAGGGAGATAGGTGTTTTTTGTTTAGCGGTTCTTGACATTCCTGTTACTTGTTTCAACTTTTTGAACAGAACTGTCTCCAACCCGCACCCTGCTACTGATTCATTCATGGATTACATCTATTACCATTGGTCCAAACATCCTTTCATTCGCGGGGGGTACAGCTCTCCAACAGTTCATGCGTATGGCTTGCGCCACGAGCTTGGGCGCCCTGTGGGGGATCGCCTGTTTTTCGCTGGTGAAGCCACGAGTGTGACTGCCTGTGCTACTGTCCACACTGCCATGGAAACTGGATTACGAGCCGCCCGAGAAGTTTGCAGTACCACCACTCGTGTTATCACAGAGTGACTTGTGCCAGGAAAGTGAACAGTCCATGACTGTTGAATGATCGTACGTCCATAACAAGGGAGAGAGTGGTTGTTTCTTTTAGATTGTTCTCAGTTGGAAAGTTCTGTGTCTTGAAGACTTTGAAATTGACTCCGTCGTCTATTTAAAATTCAAGAATGGTATAGGTTTGGAACGAG